TGAAACAGGTTTTTTGTTTTTTTGTTTTTTTTTTTTTTTTTTTTTTTGCCACAGACAGTGGCAAAAGGCGTGCTAGAGGAAGACATCTGGCCTGGGGCTCCTCCCCGATTAAGACACCCCCCCATGTGGCTCATTCCTACCATAGCTGTGTGCTCCACCTCCCAGAGAGGAAGTGCAATGGCCTGTGACATGAGCCGCAGGGGAGCTGTAGGTCCTTTTATTTCTCAGAGCATAACATAGCCAACTTTACTGGGAGAGACAAAGAAACCTGCGGGTGCCCCCTGGTGGAATGTCCCTTCTCCATCAGTCAGCTCCTGTATGTAGCAGCTCTGTCTTGGGAGCCAGGGCTCAGAAGGACCCATCTGTGCCACTCCTAGGCATGTACTCAAAGGGTTCTATATCCTGCCACAGAGACGCTTGCCCATCCATGTTCACTGTTGCTGTATGCACAGTAGCCAGAAAATGGATGGATGGATAATGAAAATGAGGTGTATATACGCAACGGGATTTATTCAGTCATAAAGAAAACTGAAATTTATTAAATTTGCAAGCAAAATGGGTGGAAGTGGAAAATATTACATTAAGTGAGGTGACTCAGGCTCAGAAAGACAAATAGCTCATATTCTTTCTCATGCACATCCAAGCTTCTAATTTTTATTTATGTGTATTTATGTGGGAGTAAGTATTGGGTAGAGGCCAGAAAACTAGCAAGGGGCCCAAGAGAGGGGGGAAAAAGAGGCTTTAATGGAGGGATGGGAAGATACCAGAATACATATGAAAAGTGGATTATGGGTGCTAAGAAGGAAGGTGTGAGGAGATGGGGGGAGATGAGGGAGTGCATAGGCGGAGCAACCCAAACTAAAGAGGTATGAAAATGCCATAAAGAAACTTGCTACTTTGCATGCTGATTGAAAATACATATACAAATATGCACGCATAAAAAGAGGGTTTGTGAACCCTGCAGGCTGGTATACACCTGTAATCCCAGCATTAGGGAGGCTAACACAGGACTGCTGGGAGGTCAAGGCCAGCCTGGGCTACAGTGTTAGATTCTTTCTCAATGAGAGGGGGGAGAGACAGAGAGGGGGGCAAAGAAAAAGGATGTGGAAAGCGGGTCGTGTCTTCCCTGCCTCTCCTTGGCCTCCGGGGATGTATCACTGTTAATGGGTCCATCCCTGCAGCCAAGCCCGGAAGGCAGCCTGTGCTCTTGGCTGAGAGCAGGCTGCGCTCTGCTGCTTTGCCAGCCTCGGCTAAGTGTGCTCTGCACTCTGCCAGCTGGAGAGGAGAATGGGCCATTTGTATTTTGTGAAGTTTAAGGAGAAGGTTGAGAGCTGGGGACAGGCTGAATCAACCTAGTCCCCTTAGGACAGCTAAGAGCTGTCCAGCCAGGTCCTTGCTGACCCTCTCAGTCTCCACTTGGTCCTTCTCATCTCTACATCGGCTCCTCCTCTCCCCTTTCTGCTTCTGCCATCTCTCAGTTTCCCTTCCTGCTCCCTTTTCTTTCCCTCCCTATCACTCTGCTGCTATCTGTTCTCTGCTCACCCTGCTCCCAAGCAAACCTAAAATCAGTGTGGATCAGAGGCAGGGCAGAATACTCAGACTGCTGCCATCCAAACCAGGTCTGTTCAGGCCCCAACCCAGAACAGATCTTGGCAGGCCAAAATACTGTGCAAGAGGGATACACTAGGGCTGTAGGCATGTGTGTATGTGTGTTCTAAATGTGTGCATGTAGACATGAATGTTTGTTTTGTGTGCATATGTGGTATGTGGTACCCTGTATAGTTTATTATGAGGGCATGTGTATATATTACATGTACATATGTGTTTTACCATGTGTATATGCTGTGTGTGCCTGTGTTGTATGCTTTGTGGGTTATGTAATAGTGTGGGAGTTGTGTGCAAACACTGTACTGGCGGTATGCATGTGGTGGGGTGGCGTTGAGGGGCATTGACACTTTGAGAAGCTCTTCTGTTTTTCTAAGATAGTGTCGTGAAGCCCGAGCTGCTATGGGAGCAAGATAATGATCTTGAACTTCTGCTCCCCCTGCCCCCACCACCCCCCCACCAAGTGCCAGGATTCCAGGTGTGCCCACAGGTCCAGTTTGTACAATGCTGGGGATTCAGCCCAGGACTGAATATGCTAGGCAAGCATTCTGCCTACTGAGCTACAGCCCCAGCTCTTCTGGAAGGTTTTCTGAAAGGTTCCAACCAGTTCTCTTTCCCAACCTGAAGCTGGCTGTGTGGTTGCTCCTGTTGAAGAGGGCCACTGAGTCAGACCCTGGTGGCATCTCTGGCTCTCTGAAGGCTTTTGACTTCCTCCTTAGCCTGGCTGTCTGGGCAGGGAAAACAGAACATGGCTTTAGCCGTCCCAGGATCCTGGCCCCAAGGTCTGTAGCAATAAGCCTTGAACATGGAGCGACCCTTATCTGGTTCTGAGGCTAAGAACCCCAAGTCTGAGGACAATTGGCCCAGTGACTAGTCACCTAATGGCTAGCCTAGCTAAGTGTGGGTCAGTGTCCCCAACACCAGCTCTTGCCATGCCTCTACTAATGGTCTATCCTGGCCATTTCCTGTGTGTCTCCTCCGAATGTCACAAGGAGTCCTATGTCCAACTTACCTAAAGATTCTAATTTTAACAAGGGCAGGGAGGTGAAAGAGGGAAGAAAGTGAGTGTATTTAACAGTTACATGAGCTGTACCATGTGGACACTGGGGACTGTTTATTAGGAAGGAGAACCAGGACCTTCCCCATAGATAAAAGAACCCAGGCTCTTCAAACCTCAGAGGTAGAAATCAAAGGGTGGGAATTCCCTGAGAGAGAGGGCATCCTTGGTTCCCTGGGGAAAGTCCGCAGCAGCAGGAAACTGTGGGCACAGGAGGAAGTCACTGGGCTGGAGGAGTCCAGGGGAACCAAAATAGCATTGTCTCCAGAATAGGTATTACAGCCTGAACTTTCCTCTTGAAATTCACACCCTGAGCAGGGCGGATCTGTCCTGGGTGGGAGCTCCCAGGCTCCCTGCCTATGGGCAGGCTTCTCTTCACCTTTCCCAGGCCAAGATTTGCCACACTCATTCTTGGCATCTCTCCTGAGTCTACAGATCTGTGCAGCCCACCCCAGGGTGAACCTGTGTCTGCTTTTGTGTGTTGGCTTGTCCATGCCTAGAATATCTCAGAAGCTTTGGGTTGGAGGCACAAGGAGGTGACAGATCCAAGGTGTTGGTGAGAGCTTGAGCTTTGACGTTTGACTGTGCATCCCAGGGCTGCCTGTTTAACCTCTCTAAGACTCTTCATGTGCAAAATAGGGACAACCAGATCTTCGCAAATGTCATTCTGTGCTCACAGCCGACTGGGGAAATGTGCACCTTACTTAGCTCTGCTCTGACTCGATACATGGCAGATGAAAAGAATCAGAACTGGCCATTCACGATTCTTAAGAACTGAAAGCTCCTGCAGTCACCCCAAAATTGCAATACCACCACCTGCAATCACCCCCAAATGGCAGCAAAACCACCTCCTCTTAGAGCCACAGCTCGGCAGTAAAATGGAGGGTTGCTGCCCAGAGCGCATGCTCCTCCCTAAGCTGCAGAAAGGAGAGCACCATGGTGGTGAGACTAAAGGACATGGCAGTACTGTTTTCCTAGATGGTGCTCAGGCTGGTCTTCGGGTTCTCGGTGGTCTTCCAAGTACATCAGCAAGGTTGCTCTCAAGCAAATCTATCTCATGGAGAATGCAAAATGGCCACGCATGGGCATGTGCCAGCCATAATTTGTGACTCCTGGATATCACTAGCATTGCAGGGATCACTGTGGGGTCAACAAACTAAGAACCTGCCAACAGTCAGGAAGGACACAGAACAGGGAGGAGCCCTGGAGAGCTTGTGTAGAGTAGAGCTGATGACTGGCCAAGTGAATGTGCCAGATCTCTGCCCGGGTGGAGGGTGGGGAGGCTCCAAGGACACTCTCTCAGTGGCTGCTCAGCCCAGAGACAACCAGACTCATGGAGGCCAGGTCAAAAGGTGACAGAAAAGACTGGGGAGCAGCAGCCAGGTTCCTACCCCAGGCCTCGGAAACTTTCTGTCCAATTTCACACTGCTCCTTGTCCTCAGCCCAAGACTACTCTAGTCTTTGAGAAGCGCTGGGTTTCTAGTTGCAGTCAACTTTCCACCTGCATGTGCCTGGCTGTCCCACACTGTCTCCAGCATGGCTGCTACTCAGCTGTCAGGCTTCCCCTGGGCTGCAGGCCTTCTCTGAGCACAGAGGCAACAGGAAGTCCCAAGAAGGAGAAAGTTAACCTGGGGCTTCCAGTCTTCATACCTTTGGGCCAGTCATCACCTCCCCAGCCTCCTCTTCCTCATCTATGGACAAGAGAAAGCCATAGATACAGCCATGGGAAAGTCAGGGGCTGATGCCATACATCCCAGGCCAGGGCCTGTGTCAGAGATCAGAGACAGCTTGAACCTGAATGTTTCCCCATCCACCTCCTGGAACAGTGGAGTGCAGGGCCATCAGGGATACAGAGAACCCACAGATTACTCCCACTGTAAAGCAGTGGGCCAGGGAGACAGTCCCATCGTGGATAGTCTAAGATAGGCCTTCTTTCTTCGGACATTGCATTGACAGACCATTTGACAGGTCTAGGGGCCTGTCTGTGCCTTACAGCCATCTTTCATTCTTCCCAAAGTGGCCAATGTTCAACAGTTGGGACGTCTCTGGGGAAGCTGTGTTGGAGCAGAAAAGCCATAGTAGGAACACGACTGGGGTCTCCCAGGATGAAGATAAAGTGATAGAGTTTCTGATGGGAAAAGGAAATTGTAAGAGAAAACCCCTAAGAGCCATCCACCATGGCCCAGGGCATCTAAGAAGTCATGGCTTAGTTCTTAGTAGGAAGTAGGTAGGTTCTACAGCTCATCCAAGTGGCCTGGGGACACTTTCATATCATGCAGACATTTTCACTCCATTACATCATCCATCCTCATTACCAATCCCATGTTACTGGGAAAGAGGGACCTGAGATATCCTCGGGCCAAGCCCAACATCCCCATCTCCTTCTGGTCCAGTACAGCCAATAAAGGCTGACCAGCCTGAGTGTGGCCAGGAGGATGGGATATAGGGACCAGCCTCTGTGTATGCTCACTGTGGGTCCTCTGCTGTTGGCTCCATCTAGCGTGTGGAGTTTATAAGTGTACTGGGGAAGGAAAGCCAAAGTGCTTCTTCCTATGTTCAAAATAGTGTTGGTGAGGACCAGAGACTGAGACACACAGCATATCACAGGGTCGTCATGACAATTTGTTCATTTTTGAGGCCTCTCATGAAGGCAGCCTGCAGCAAGCGGCAAAGTCCAACATTAAGGATCTGCTGGGATGCCTCTGTCTGATACTATGATGTAGATAGGGCCTGCTGGGAGAGGTCAGGAAGGCCTCTCAGGAATGAGGCTGGAACTCAACTTTGGCACAAGGGACCACCCAGCCTGGGAGGACCACACACCAGAGCATCCTGGTTAATCTGTGGAACAGGAATTTAGTGAGTGGAGCAGACAGAGTTCGGTGTTGAACATCTAACTCCCTCCCTGGACTTTCTGGGAGTCCCACTACCTTCCTTACCACCTCACGCCTCTATTTCAGCTGAAGACAACATGGCTTCCCTGCTTCCACTGAAGATAGCATGGCCTCCCTATTTCCATGGCAACAGAGGCACTGGGGCAAGAAAAAAGTGGCCTTGAGGTTGATAGGGTGGGAAGCCCAGCCTGGGATCCCCGAGGATCCAGGATCCCCCATCTTGGATAATTCATAGAGGGAAATATCCCCAAAGAGAGCCCAAGCAAATTGCAGCAGCAGTAGCAACAGCAGCAACCTCCTTCTGGGGCCCCCAGGTAGGGCTCTTCAGGTTGTACACTGAACAAAGCAGCCTCTCTCAGTGACCATGTGCTCAGAAGACAGATTTATTTTGTCTGCGTTGCTCATACATTTTATTGCAACTCTGTGGCTCCAAGGGTAGATCTTTGGTGTGTTTGTTATGAAAACAGTGATTTATGGCAGTGAAGGTCTGTCTTATAAGATGAGTACACTCCATCTATCACGGAAGGGTGCGTGGTAAAATGGTGCCCCACGTGGGCCTCATGCCTGATCTTTCTCTGCAGTTTTTCCTGTTTATCCTGATCATCTTCCTGGTAGAGCTCTCAGCAGCCATCCTGGCCTTCATCTTCAGGGAACACGTATGTACCACTCAGCTTCCCACACTGCTACCCTCACTACCCACCGAGCACTGGTGGGTAGTGCTCTTAGAACCTCTTAGAACTAGCTAAGTTCCACAAGCCTAAACCTGCACCTCAGGGAGAGGCCAGGGGCCAGAGCAACCCAGCCCAATGAAGTCTCCTCCTGTAGGAGTATTTCCATAAGTCCTCACCCAGGGGTGCCTATGGGTCCCCTCCTCTGGATCACCTGATATAAGCTCCAGCCTGGTTCTAGAATTTATATACAACCCAGTGACATTCTGATGATGGGTGTCACATGGTCAGGTGGTTGGAGAGGACAACCCCAGTCTGGGCATGTTGTGTGCCATGCTAAGCTACCAGTCCCTCTGAGTAGCCTACATCATAGGACATTCATTCCAGAAGCTCCAGCCAGCATATTACCCTGAGCCTAGTGGACAAGGCCTGGTACCATAGCTGGAAGGGCCTGAGCTCCAAACAGGAGGGTAGGAAGGACAAGACACATGGGCCCTCCTGATTCAGGGAGCCAGCTTGAGGAAGCTGTTGAGAACAGTGACTTTGAAGACATAGCTGGGAACTATGGGTAACTGAAGGCTTTCTCTTTACCCACACCCTGGCTCCTTGTAGGTTGGGCATGGCACCTGCTGATTCTGAAGGATGGAATGACAGTTGCCCCCTCCCATGGTCATCCTCTAAGAGTTGCAAGGTTAAGCAGGTTTCCCAGTGTGTTCCATCCTGAGGTTAGCTGAGGCCTATGCATGCAGATATCCTTGTCATAGCAGTGGCCTGTGATGACACAGCAAGGCCCCAAGCCTTAGGAAGGGTGCTTGACCAACATGGGTAATTTAAGATAGCCAGGCTGAGAAGATTCAGCACCCTCTCCTCTGTCCCCAGCTCACCCGCGAGTTCTTCACCAAGGAGCTCACCAAGCACTACCAGGGCAATAATGACACGGACGTGTTCTCTGCCACTTGGAATTCGGTCATGATCACAGTGAGTGCCCCTGCCCATGCCATCCTGGGATGCATGAGCATTCAAAGCCACAGTGTTGACATGAAAAAGCTCTAGAGGCCAGCCTCTAGGGCTGGCTCTTCCAATCCCCTGCCTGTGCTAGACATCAACAATCAATCAAGAATCACTGATCCCACTCTTGGCCTGTGAATCATCATTTGTGCAGCACTCTAAGCTGTCACAGCTAGTAAATCACAGCACAGATTCCTCACAAAATCTGTTCTCTGCCCCTGACTCAAGTCTCAAACACTAGCTATTGTCATTGATGTTAATAATAATCCGTACAGAGGCTGGGGAGAGGGTTGAGTCAGTAAAGTGCTTGCTGTTGCTATCATGAGGAACTGAGTTTCATTTCCGGCATCCATGTAAAAAGCCAGGTGTTACGATGTATACTTACAGTCCCAGCACTCAGGAAATGGAGACAGATATATCCTTGGGGCTCACTGGCCAGCCAGCCTAACCTAACCTATGAGCCTCAGGTCCCAGTAAAAGCCCCTGTCTCAAAACATAAAATGCAGTTAGGTGGTGGTGGCGGCACACACCTTTCATCCCAGCACTCAGGAGGCAAAGGCAGACAGAACTCTGAGTTCAAAACCAGCCTGGTCTACAAGAGCAAGTTCCAGGGCAGCAAGGGCTACACACACACACACACACACACACACACACACACATTCACTCACTGAGAGAGAGAGAAAAGGACAGCACCTGAAAAATGATATCTGAGCTTGACCTCTGACCTCCATACACACACACACACACACACACACACACACACACACACGCACGCGCGTGCATCCCCAACACCCACAAATACATCTGCACGTGAACAAATCCACATATAATATACACATGCCAAATGTAACAATTATGATTAGCATAGCATATTGTAAAATCATAGCAACTACATGTCAAGTGCTTACCAAGTGTTCATAAGGTAAGGAACATACTGCCATGCCCCTCTTACAGAGAGGACTTGAAGTGCAGGGACATGGGCCATCACCACCGTCACACTGAGGGCACAGGGAGCTGGCATGGCAGAGGCTAACATTCCCTCTGGTCCAGCTCTAGCTCCCACTTCCGGGTCTCTTCTAGTTTGGCTGCTGTGGGGTCAACGGACCCGAAGACTTCAAGACGGCCTCAGTGTTTCGGCTGCTGACACTGGACAGTGAGGAGGTCCCCAAGGCCTGCTGCAGGAGGGAACCCCAGACTCGGGACGGGATGCTGTTGAGTAGGGAGGAATGCCAGCTGGGGAGGAGTCCATTCATAAACAAACAGGTACTGCCCTGTTCCCTGCAGGAAGACACTCCACAAATACCCACAAAGCTGGGGGAAACAATGTCTGTCCAGGGGGTCTGAAGATGGTGGAGAGCTTTTTAGGCAGAGTTCTGGCTGTGGCACAGGCTCCTTCCTACTCATCATGCCTCTGAGATTTAAGGAAGTGGGGAGAGGATCACAGGAACAGGAGATGAGCTGGGTACAGGGTGCAATGGGAATTTGGGATGTGGTTCCGAGGTGAGTTTTCCAAACTTCTAATAATAAAATCAGAGTTGGGTGGCAAGAGTGGGGGTGCTCCTTAGGCATGCACTCTACGTATGAGGATACTTACTCTGGTCAGTTAGGGGCATTCCTTGATCCCAGGAGAGCAGACTCTCATTGACCTGACCCTAGACAATCAGAGAAACATCTAGACATCTTTCTTCTCTTGTAATCTGAGGGTTTCATTTCAGCCTTGTTTCCTTTAGGGGGAAACAAAGGTCCCAGCTGTGTCCCCTCAACAAGGAGCACACCACCACTTCACCCTTGGTCCCCTACTTTCCTGATGGCCAGAGGCCCTGCCCCTCCATAAAGAGGTTGGGCAGGGCAGGCAGGGAGGTAGGAGGGAATGAGGATGAGAGTCATACCTGGGTTTCTCTCCTGGTCAGACTTCCCTGGGAGAATTCCAAATACCAGGGTACAGGTGAGCACAAGAGACAAGGCCCAGCTCCCATGGGGATCTTGGTCTAGGGAGAGGTGGTAGGAAGATGGTGAACCAGAGAAACAAAAGTGATCCTTGCCCTAATGGTAGTTGTAAGGGTGAAAAATTGTTTGAAGAAAGTGCTGGAATGTGCATGGGCTGGAGCTTAAGGTTCTTAGAGTCCCAAGGGAGAGCATCATTGGGCTGAGACCAGATGCCCAACTTGACACCAAGAATTCAGCTCTTGCTGGGCAGTGGTGGTGCATGCCTTTAATCCCAGCACTTGGGAGGCAGAGCCTCCAAAATCACAGTGAAACTCTGTCTCGAAAACACCCCCCCCCCGGAAAAAAAGAACTTGGTGTCACAAAATATCAGCTCTTGTCCCTGTACCTGGATTGGGACAGGCCAGAGCTCAGCTCCTCTGCCACACAGCCTGCCTTCCTATCCCAGGGAAAGAGACAGACATAAAGATGGAGAGCACTGGGATGCAGATGCTGTGGAAAGAAAAGGCCACTGAGGGTTTGGATCACAGGGACCTATGTGAAGAGCAAATAGGATTTGGGAAGCACCGAGGATGTGTGGAGTCTCATGCTTCCAGGAGCGCACTGCTGACAGGCCTCAGCCATTACCTGCTCACTGAAAGCCAAACCAGATGACCCAACTGCTCCCTTGCTCCTTCCCCTGCTAAGAAAGAAAAGTCTGCCACAGCTCAGGAGCTCAGGATTGTGAGGCAGAAGCCTTGCCTCTCCCGCTGTCTCTCAGAAGCCAAGGGAATATAAACAAAAGACATTTGGACAACTGAGTCAAGCCCTTATGAGAAAGTGTGACACCCCCACCTCACCAGAAGGTAGCCACCCAGGGCCTTGCTGAGGACAGGGAGCTCTGGACAGGGAGCTGAGGACAGGAGGTCTGCAAAGAAAGAGCACACCCAAGAGAAGTCAGTCTCCTCACTGAAGGAGCTGCTGAGGGCTTGGGAGTTGGGTGGGATTGGGAAAGAGTCCCACAGCCAGGCTCCTCCTCCTCCTGCTTCCTGAACTTTCTCCTGCAAGCTCCTGATTTCTAGATGCTTCCCCCAGGAGCACACTCTTACTGTCTCCTGGGCTGAGGACCACACAGCCACAGTGATTCTCCATCACAGAGCCTCTCAGCTTAGTGAGGCTAGCATCCACTGTCCCTGATCAGATCCCACTAGTGTCTTCTTGCTCAGAGAAAGCTTCCTCGGTTTCACTTCTAATCAAAGATACTGGGGTTCTGGGTAGGAAACAGCAAGAGATTTGAACACCAAGACCCCAGTCTCAGTAGAACCCGAAATCCAACAGTCACCCCACAGAGATGGGCATGATTCCCATCCTCACCAAACCACCAAGCCAGTCCACTTGGAAGTCCTCCAGTTGGGCCCAAAGAATATTCAGACAGTCATAAAAGAAAGAAAACTCTTGTTTCTTTAAGAATGTGTTTCAGATGTCTGAACGTATAGCTCAGCCAATAGACTTGTCTAGCATGCATGAAGCCTAGGTTCCATCCCACCACCCCATAAACTGGGTAATCCTAGCACCCAGGTGATAAAGCCAGGAGAATTACAAGTTCAAGGTCATCCTTAACTACAGAGTTCTAGGGTAGCCAGGACTACATGAAATCCTATCTCAAAAAAAAAAATGTGTATATTTCATTCGGAGCTGGGGTGGGTGTGGCTCTTTCATAGTCAGCATTAGGGCCTAGCTTTGATCCCGGCACTGATGTATATATAACCCACAGAGAGGACTCGTTATGGCCTGGTGTCTGTTGCCACCATGGGGTGGACACAAAGTATAATGTGCCTGGGGCCCAGTGGGGGAGGTCTTGTCTCCCCTTGCTTATTTGACACCCAAGATTCTAGGAGGCAGTAGGCACAAGAGTCACATGGAGGTGGCTGTTCCTATGAAGCTGGCTTGCCTGGCCTTGAGCCACAGGTGAAAAATCCTTCAGCAGTCAGGCTGGTCAAGAACGGGGACTGAGGGGCACTGTGAACCTCTGCAAGCTGCTGTCCCTCTTGGAGGGCAGGTGAGCACCATAGGACATTCACATTGAAGAAGCCCAGCCCAACTAGCACTGCCTTTGGGGTACAATCCCCACTTGTAAGGAGCACCAGGAAGCCTGGGTGTTTGGACATTTCCTCCTACTCTGGGTCTGAGGCTGAGTTAGCCTTGGGAAGTTTTCAGCCTGTCTCAGGGACCGGAAGCCACTGAGGAGGGATGTTGTCAAGTCTGTAAATGACCTGATATTTCCTTCTCCCCACATTGGTATGGAAATGGCAGCCTGCAGTTGCTGAACCTTAGGACTAATGCCAGGGACTTCAGTGCCAACCATGGTGCCCAGCTGCAGAGTGCACCTCCCTTATCCCTGGCCTTTCTTTCCCAGGGCTGTTACACGGTGATCCTCAACACCTTCGAAACCTACGTCTACCTGGCTGGGGCCTTTGCCATTGGGGTGCTGGCTATTGAGGTGAGTAGGGCCCCCTGGAAAAGCCCCGGGGTCTAGACACACAGCCTGCTTCCCAGGTCCATGACTGCTGACTGTTGCAAACATCTGCCGCTGGAGACATTCTTGTAGCCTAAAGCTACATGTCTGCTTGTCTCAGAATAGTGAGAGCAGGCAGGCCCACCCCACCCCAGCTCTGCGATCCAAGCACACTTTGTGGGATATGTGAACTGCCTTGAAAGCTGGGGCAGGGGACTTCTTGATAGGACCCTGCCTTTGCAAGTGTTCAGGGTGTCTCTTTAATTTGGCAATGGAACTTAAGTACCCTTCATCCCAGGCCCCAGAGCATACACACCTGAGTGGCTGCTGACATCTGAGCTACCACTAGATGGTGCTTCAGTCTTCCTTTCTCATGGCCCCCAGCCAATTCTAGGATGAACTTTGGGGCAATGAAGCCAGGCATCCTGATGCTTGGCCCTTGCCTCCTGCTCTTCAGGGCCCCCTTCAAGGATGCTCTGGTCACCTGGCACCCTGGATATCTCCTTGTTCAGTGTCCCCTGTGCCTTGTCTCTCGGGATAATAGTTCTGTGTAAGCCTCAGGGGAAATGGAGGTATCATTTGTTAACTCCACAAGCATGTATTGAGCCCTTTGCTGTATGCTAGCACTGCTGGAAGTAAACAAAGCCTCCTGTGGGAACTAAAACCAGCAACAGACACACAGATCTTCCCAAGGCTGGGCAAATTTCAAGAATGTGTCCAGTGTACATAGCTTTGCCTTGCTGAAGCCACAGGTCAAGCTTAGAGTACTGTGACCTCATCATGTCCCGTGAGCTATCAGAGGTTGCAGGGGCTGGAAGAAAGGTCTCTGGGGGCAGTATATCCCTTCTCAAGCCAGGCTACCCCACTGGCCCTGTGTGACCTGAATCAGGTTGTACCACTTCCCTGTAGCGCCTCACTTCCTGCTGGTTAGAAAGGCTGCTGACACAGCACTTAAAAGTTACTTTGCATGGTAAGTGCTTGGTACACACTCGGGGCCCAAGAAGGGTTATGCTTTGCTTAAGGTCTCTGCCAACCCAAGGAATACAGATTTGAATTGTTTAAACAGACCGCTCACTTTCAAAGCTCCCTTCTTGGATGGTGAACATGTGCTTGCCCTGGGCGGTGTCAAAAGTCCTCAGGAGGCATGCTGGGTGGTCCCTCGACGAGCACCAAACCTGACTCTGGGTCATCTTCTTTCTTTCTCTGCAGCTTTTCCTCATGATCTTTGCCATGTGCCTCTTCCGGGGCATCCAGTAGGCCATGGTCTGAAGATACCCAGCCCACCACTGCCCAGTAGCCAGCCCCCTCCCTTCCCTGTTCTCTGACCCCAGGGGAGGAGGCAAAGCCAGCCTGGATGGCCAGGAGCATAGAAGCTCATTTTTAAAACAAAACAAAAAAGACAGATGTGAACTGAAGATGTCTCACTTGGCTCCGAGGCAAGAACCATGGGCTCAGCAAGGACTTAGGGCTGGCCTGGGACCAGCTGTTCCTGAGACCAAAGGATTATCAGCCTCAGAGCTCCTGGACCCTGTCAAACTAGACTGTCCGCTGGCCTGGGCCCCCTCTCTTAGCATTTCCAGGATCTGAGCAACCAGAAGGCAGAAAGACACCCTGGAGGACGAGCTCAGAGTCCCCAAGGAGATGCACTTTTCACACCACGAGGGTGGAATCTGCAGCGCCATCTGCTGGATGGCAAAGCTGTCTGGGCTCCTGGCCGACTGAGGGTGGTTGTGTGTGGATCTGACAGTGACAGTCTTTGGTTTCCTCATCTCTTGGATCAAAGTCTCTCCAAGGCCCAGAAAAGGGCAGTGACTTGTCCACATTCACACAGTATGTGCATGACAATGTCATCTCTGGGCTGCTGTCACTCCAGCCAGGACCCTCAACATCCCAATGTAAACTGTCCAGGAACTGCCTGCATCAAGTTCTTGTGACTCTACCTAAGCCTACTGTCACCCATCACCTGTCCTCTTGGGCCATACCCCTCCCTATTCTCCCCGGTGGAAGACACCCCAATATTTTTCGTTTCTCTTTCTACCCAGAGCTGAGGCTTGAATGTGTTCTTCAAGGTCCCTGCCAAGAATTCACCCCCTTGCATACCTCCACAAGTGGGGCTCACTACCTCCCAATGCAGCCTCCTGCCTTCAGAAGCTCTAACTTCACTACACCTCAATAGACAGAAGGGGTTTCCATTTTCCTGCACTCCTCTTCATGTAGCACCTTCACTCTCTCCTTCCTAAAGGTTAAGGTCATAACTTTTCTCTGCAGAACCCCACAACCGCTCAGCCATTCCCACCATGACATACTTTCTGATTTTATGCTGTCCATATGACATTTTGTTATTTTCTCTAGACTCACACTCACAGGCTCACAACCAAAACACACACACACACATACACACACACACACACACAACTCTGACAATAGAATAGGTTGCCAACTGGGTTGCAAGATGTCTGACTCTGTCAGGACTGTGTTGAATCCATTAGTGTTGTCCGTCAGGATTTCAAGTTTGATTAATTGTGTCTGCCATGGGCTCAGCAGAGGAAGGATGAGGCAGTGTTGGAAGGAATAGCGTGGTGTCTGCTCTCCTCAGAGCCTGATCTAATTCCAGCTTCCCTCTCTGCCTTCCTGCCACCTGGGAGTCATAGTCAAAGCCTGGAGACCAGAGCTACCCTGCTACTTGGGCTACTGTCTGGGTCCAAGGGGACCCTTCTCTCATTTCTTTCCTCTCTTCATGTCCTGATCCATCCTGGCCTTCCTGGGGGTCTTTGAGCGACACTTTTCCAAGTTGTCCTTATGACAGCTTACTTGGCATCCCAATAAATGAAGCCTAGAGACCAAGTCACGAGGTTAGCGGACCCCACTGCTGGTTCCCAGCCCAGACTAAGAGAACCTTGTCTCTGACTCAGACCCCACCACATACTGGATTCCAACTGCCTAGGAGGGCAAATGGATCAGCTGAGGTCGATTGGAAGCTCATGGTCCAGCTAACCAGGATATAGCCCAGCCACAGAGGATGCTGCCCAGAACTATCCCAGGCTTCCAGAGACAGCAGGGCTGGGACAAAGAGGGCTGAGAAAACAGATGTGTAGCCGAGGTGGTTCCAGGGTAGATTAGGCTCTCACCAAGAGAACTTTGCTTACAGATGTTGAAGAGCCCCAAGGTAGCCCAGATGCATCCCAGCTGTGAATCCAACTCTTCAGCCAACACCCCCATGGGATGAGAGGGCAGTCCACCCATCTACTAGGCTGTCTGAGGTCACTCTAGTGGGACTTGGTGGGATGCTCTGTATGCTCTCAGGGGAGGGGAGCAGAGTCCTCCTTCACCTCTCACTCCAGGACCAATAGCTTCATCTGAGATGCCCTGTGACTCACATACAGTAGTGAACAGGCCCTGCCTGCCCAGAGCAACTTGCTAAAGAGACAGCAGTATCCTACAAACGGGGACTAAGACTGGATCTGTGGCCCATGCCCCTTCTCAGCATCCTGTCTCAAGCCCCTGACATACCCAGGTCCTGAACCCACCACCATGCCCCGAGGAACCCCAACATACACACACACACACACACACACACACACACACACACACACACAGTTTATTTTGGAATCTGTAAATGTCCCTTACAGTAGGAAACAGAGCTAATTTATCATTGTAACTCCCAAACTCCCACCCCTTTTTATATTCTATATCAAGAGAAATTTTGTAATATAAAACAGGACACACAGAGATCGTTTTTGCACTGGTTTTTGTGACTGTTTCTTACAAAAAGAAGGGCTAAGGAATAAATAGTGACCATGACAGAGGTGGTCTTGGGGGCTGAGGCAGAAGCATGACAAGAGGAGCTGGGGGGCAGCCAGGGCACCCCAAGCTTGGATTCAGGGTGGAGTTCCTATCTCCATCTCCGCCTCCTTCCAAGCTTAGTTTCTCCTGGAGGCCACAGGTGTGTCTGTACTGCCAGCCTTGCTCTGTCCTTGACCCTACCCCCTGTGAAGATATCACACCAGGGTGACCTGGCCACCCCACCCCAACCCCAGGGCAAGACCTGCCATCACTGTCACCGAGGGAAAGACTGGCAGATGTCCACGAAGGGCTGAGCATGGCTGGCATTTTCCACTTCTCTGACTACCTCCCTTGGGACTCTGTCTGCATTCGCAGAGGATTCAAAAGGATAAATCCCCGTCACCACTGAAAACAGTCAACAATACCACCCAATCTGCAACAGCTGGGACTGTACTGAGAGGTGGCAGTGGCTGGACCTGTGGTGGGACTGAGGGACTGGCACAAAGCCAGTGAGCGGCAGAAGGTGGATGTACACAACCATCCCTTCTTTTTATGGGGGCGGGGGTCAAGACAGGGTTTTCTCTGTGTAGCTTTGGAGCCTGTCCTGGCGCTCGCTCTGTAGACCAGGCTGGTCTCAGAACTCACATAGATCCCTTCTTGAAAGCACAGATACTCATCACTCTGTCAGTCACAGAAGCAGCCTGGGCCTCTGCTGGACATGTTTTCCACTGAAACTTCCCTGGAGTGCCCCCTGATGGGCGTAGGCCATTGTCATGGGGCACATGGCTGCAAGGCCACATGAGCCTGGGGAAGCTGAGCCCAGGTGCCCTAGAGAAAGGTTCCTCAGGCTGGGGGTGGGGCTGGGGATGGGACACAACCCCCTTGCAGAAGGGAGCGAGATAAGCCTCTGGGTACCCCTCTTCCTAGTGTGCTGGCTGCTGAAGGGAAGAAAAGTGCTGGGAGCAAGGGAAGGGGACACACAGGGTAGTGGTGACAGGTGTGTCTTCAGCTCTGGAGGCCCACTGTCAGGGTGCTGGGGAAGGACAGACCCACTTCTGTTTCCTTACTTCTAAAGTTTGAGGGGCTGTAGGCCTTGGGAAAGCCTGGGGGTAGGGATCTTGAGGAGGCACTGAGCCAGGTGTAGCCATGCAGGCCTTGGAGACCATGCCAAGGAAATGTCCCTGCTTTTCTTCAGAATTCCTCAAGCACTGGGAGCCTATGGCCAGCTGAGGTGCCAGGGCCTGTCGGGGCCTGTGGTATATTGTATAATCCTGGCCTGTCGGGGAGGGGCTCTGGGGCTCTGGGGTGCAGACAGCCAGAGCACCAGAACATTCTACCAAAGAGAATGTCAGGCCAAAGAGAGGGATAGGTGTGCAGGCCAAGGATGGGGACCTAGGCCCAAGGGAGGCAGCCATTCCCCTAGCTGACCACAGTAGGGGCTCCGAAAACTCTGTGCGCGCACGAGCATGTGTGTGTGTGTGTGTGTGTGTGTGTGTGTTTGGGATGTGAGGGACTCATATGGGAAGACCCAGTTTTGGGGTTTCTGGATGAAGAGAAGCTGAGACCTGCTGCTGGGGCTGATACAATCTCCTAAAGAGAAAGGGGCTTCCTGGCAGAGGAACTAACCTTGACTCAGCCCAGATACCCCAACAATCCACTCTAGACTGTGTGTCTATTAGAGTCTAGAGGTCAAGAAAGCTAGGGCAAGGGGTTGTCCCTGTATAGGGTAAGGAGTGGGGTGCAGAGGCCCCAGCCTGCTGTCACTCCTAGAAGCCCAGGAGGTCCAAACCGACTCCAGGGAGTACCTGGGAGGGAAGGAAGGTGCGTGCACCCTGCCTGCTTGCAGGCCTGCCTGGGGCCCACAGACACTGAAGTCCCCAGCCACTCTGGCCCAGGTCCAGGCCCAGACCCAGGCAGGTCCCAGCCAGCTACACTTTCTTGGGTTTCCGGCCGACTTGGTAATAGTAGTAAATGCTGACAATGACAAAGAGGAGGCGGCTGGCCAGGAGCAGCAGGGTCCCCAGGGGCATGAGGCCTGTCTCAGCAAGTGTGGCAGTGACCACTGTGAAAGAAGTCAGAGAGCCAGCAGTCAGGAGCAGAAGTGTGCTCAAGCCCCTCCCACCACGGTGCTATGCCACACCCCCTCCTTCATCCCTGGGGAGAGGGGGCTGGTGGGGGAGGGCTGGCTGACCTCCAGGAGCTCAACACCAGCACAATCCAGCTGACAGATACTCCTATTCTGCTGCCCCCGAGTGACAGGTGACAGCAATGTACAACCCTGAGTGTCAGTGGGTGGCTTAAAGAATGTGCCTATGGGAGGTAGCAGGTAGGTTGTGGATTCAGGACACAATCCCCAGGTCTCTATCCATTTCCTCCTGTACCCTGCCAGCCTCTCCACACTACACTACTCACCCAAAGACTGCACCCCAAAGTAGCAGGCCTCAGTGAGCAGAGTCCAGCGGATGATGACCTTCTCGGCGGTGTAGAGTGCATTCCACATGATCAGGGAGATGCCTGTTGGGATCAAGCACAGGGTGGGCCTGACCCTCAGCCCGGTGATCTGAACCTCTTCTTATTCCACAGCACCCACTCGCTCCTCAGGTTGAACTGCCCCTCTCCCCGTCCCCAGTCCTTGTCTCTGCAGACCCAGCTCTGCTATTGAGGCTGTTCACATCGCTTGTACAGCCCCAAGGACACAAGCCCGGCTCTCTTCCCTGGAACTTAGTGTCTTCATCGACACAGTTGGGACAATGACCTCCTGCTCCATGCTAGCTTTGTCCTTGTGATGCTGTGTGGAGAGGTCTCCAAACTCAGTTACCAGGGCCTACAACTTGGTGTCCTTAACAGAGGAGCCCCTGGAGACAGAAAACCTGTGCCAAGGAAGGACTTCCTCTCAGGAATTCCCCTGGGAGACCAGGACAGGCATTGATTTTAGTGGAAGAACAGCCATTGTGGCTTACCCCCTCGGTGTCTGATCTCTGGACACCAGAGAAGTAACCACAGTGTGCTCAATTGATGACAGCCACCCTGGTAGCCAGCTCCACCACTGCTTTGCTCACAGCAAGTTTAGATCCAACTGGCACAAGACTGAAGAAGCTGTATGTGCAAAGGCCCAGCAGCTTTCTGAAACTGAGGAGTAGGCATCTTCCAGTGTGGCTGTCGTTGAGACCCAACATATAACACAGAGGAAGCAGGTAGGGGAGTGAGGTTGGATCCACTGATGTGCCCAGACCCCATACAGCACCTTGACTGTCAGGCATAAATGCAGAACTTCAATCTGCATATGGTGGTTTTAGGGAAGGTGATGATGGCCCTTCTGTTGAACTTTAAAGCTATAGTTTGGCTTCTTCTTCTTCTTCTTCTTCTTCTTCTTCTTTTTCTTCTTCTTCTTCTTCTTCTTCTTCTTCTTCTTCTTCTTCTTCTTCTTCTTCCTCTTCTTCTTCTTCTTCTTCTTCTTCTTCTTCTTCTTCTTCTTCTTCTTCTTCTTCTTCTTCTTCTTCTTCTTCTTCTTCTTTTTGGTTTTTCGAGAC